TGAGCAAAGAATGGATCTTTGTGGGGTGATGGAATACATCACTTCAGTTTCTCATGGGTTTGTATCTTTTGACTGCTAAACCTTCTTCCCTGCTGCGCTAACCCCAGTTCCATTTCAGAGCACCTGCTGGGCAAAACCCAGCACCTTCTGGGACTTCCTCAGAGCAGCACGTGTGCTCCTCAGCAGGCAGTGTGTGTGCCCTGCTGGCCTGCCTGCTTTAGGCTAATGGAAAATGATTTTTATGCTTTGGACTTAGCTGGTATTTCACATGCCTTCCTGGTCACTGCTTTCTTTTCACAGTGTGAAAATGCGCAGAGAACTTTGGATAACAAATCTAATTTCTCTCTTTGCTTGAATTCAAGCAATGGACCCCCAGGTTGTTGGGGAAGGCTGGAACTGAAGCACCTGACAGAAGAGTGTGTGCTCCCTTTGCTTTAGAAACCAGGCAAAAAAGATGATTAACCAGGCAACCATTTATTTTTTCAAGACAGGAAGTGATGGCTGCAGCCTTGTATTTAAAGGTTTATTTTAGCAAACAATGTTAATTCTCCCAGCTGGTGTTTGCTGCAGCTGGACTCCTTCCCTGCTTACAAGCTTACGTGATCTCATGGAAAATGACCCAGGATCTCTTCTCTTGGTCACAGAGGTGTTTTCTTCTGCATCTTCCTGACTGCAAAGCTTATCCTGTGCCATTTCTCACCTCTGCAGAGGGATGGCATTGCATTGCTGTCTCTGCCTCTTCTGCCTGACTTTCAAGTGGATTGAAGCAACCTTATGGGATCCATTTGTCTGATAGGGTGGGAAACCTGCAGCAAAGGGTAGGTGGCTGGGGACAGTCGAGTGAGAGCTGCTGGGTCCAGCAGAGACCATCCTCTTGTGGCTGGAGGTCACCTTGTTCCTCTTCTCTGGGAACTCAGTGTAGTGGACAGCCATGAACTGCATGTTTTGTCTCCACCATCTACAGCCACCTCACTTCCAGTTTGCCTGAGGAAGGAGCGGTTTCCTGGGAATCTGGAAAACTGGCTTGTGCTAGACAGTAATGTTGTTCTAAGGGTACTGCTGCAGTAGAAGTAATTAAACCCCTCCCAGTGTAGACACGGTTAAACTGAGACATGTCTTTTAGCCTGGTTTCCTATGGAAACCAGCCTTATGCAATCCTGCTGTCTGTCAGCCTTTCTCCCCCTCCTTCCCCCAGTAGTTTTTGCACTGGTTGGCCAATTTCAACCAAATGCGACAGAAGTCTCCAAGCTGTCAAGTTTCTACAGATTTTGTGGAAATAGGTGTTTGCATAGAGCAGAGAGACTGTGTTGGAGCCCATTTCAGAGGGAAAGGGTTTGACTCATACTGGTCACTGGAGAATCCCAACATGGAGGAAAGCTTGAAATGCCTCTGGTGTGGGAACAGGTGGAGTTGGAGTCTGCACCTGTATAAAACATTGCCTTGCAAACTCGGATCAAACTTAAGGGCAGTTCATTTTGTCGAGGTGGCTGCTCCCTTCCTCTGCTGGAAATCCCCCTGCCAGGGCAGGAGGATTGGCCTGTGTAGGAAACAACCTGAAATGCTGCTGTTCATAGCCTGGTTTAACAGAACAGCCTTAAATGAGTACGGTTAAAAATACTCTGGCTGCAAGGGTCGGTGTTTTAGAAGCTATCCCTGCTGGGAGAGGCAGATGGTTGGAGGCCATAATAGCTTCAGTTCACATTTAATCCATGGGTGTTTGGAGTCAACATCCTTGGAGAGACAGATCGGGTGACTGTGAGAGACAGTTGTAGCAACCCAGACTTAATCCCAGTGCATGGCTGATATGCTGCTGTTTGCCTGTGGTTTCAGCAGTACCAGAGTCTGGGACAGGAGCAAAGTCAACAGAGTTTGTCTGGTTTGAATGGTTCCCTCCAGTGTGCCGTGTGCTGGAGTGGTTTGCACCGAGGTGCTTGACATGCCAGACACAAGACCTTGGGCTTGGAAGCAGTTACTTGGACTTGCAGTTGGTTACTGGGCAGAAACTGGGCCCCAGTGATGTGTCCTTGGCTGGCCGGCAGCATTTGCGGTTGTGACTGGAGCAATGGCGTGGGACATGTGGGCAGGACACAGTGAAAGCTCTGTGGAGTGAGGAGGAGGAGGCCAGCGGTTTTTCCACCTGTTTTCTCCTGCAAATCTGAAACGGGGAAATGCTCTGTTCCCCTTCATCTCTCTCTGAGGACACTTCTAGGCAGTAATTTTTTGTCTAAAATGACATTACTTCAGCCCGTGGCATTTCTCCTTGTTTCATCCCTGTTTTCCTAGTGGTGGAAAACCCCGTTCTGAGTGCTGGCTGTGCATGGGGAGAGCACTCTGATGATGTACTGATTACAGCCCTGAGGCCTCTCAGGCCCTGTCCTGGCTCACAGCTGATGTGGAGATGGTGTGGTCATGTGTGGACAACCTGGCCTGGGCTCTGCACTGCTGCAGCTTAGCAAGAAAAAGTGCAAACAGCGAGTGGCTTTTAACTCTCCCTCTTGCTGAGACAGTGTTTGCTGCAGTATCTTCCATCAGTGATGTCAGAGATGATGCTGTTGGCAATTATCTGCAGGCATTTCATTAAAAAAAGACCAACTTTCTTCTCTCCTTTTTTTCCAAAAGTCACTGATTCTGTCCGCTCTTGTCTTTTAATAAGTGTGTGGTGGGTAGGGCCAGATTTCTGATAGAGATAATACAGAGCATCATTTTCCCATCCTGAAAAATGTGGAAACGTGGAAACAACTGGAAGGCAACAACTTCTGCCCCTGTGGGAACAGTAGTTACTACAGAAGGAGAAAGGGAAATCTCAGAGGGATATCCTTCCCTACGTAACTGATGCAAAAGGCCCTTGAAATGACTACAATACAAAGAAAAGGGTATTTCAAAGTGGGCTTTGGGTCCTCTTGGCTGTGTTCAGGCACTGTTTCAGCTCCTGATCAGGTGCAAGTGTTGCAGCAGAGAGGCTGTGATGCATGTCTGTGGTGATTTTGTGATTCAGTGAGTGCCTTTGGGATGGCAGTACCTCAGCTTCCTCTTTGAAGTTCCTTGGAAAACAGCTTGTGTGTGCATTTGCCTCAGTGGACAAGCAGAGTAACCAAATTACGTCCTCTAATTCCATCTTGGCCTTCTGGTAAGCTCTGTGCATGTGGGTGACGCAAGGGTGGTGTCCATCCCCATGCTGACATAAATGAAATCAGTCCCTGGTGAAACATCTTCCTCTGGGGTTCAAAGATACAGCCCTCACTTCTGCTGGTCTACATCCCCCTGCTCTGGCTGGTTCTCCTTGTCTTTCCAAGCTCCCACCAGCTCCAGCTGTGTCTGGGTGCTGCCCCGGGGCTGTTGGTTGCCCTCTCCCCGACGAGCTCTGCCCCACATCACTGCAGCTCTGGCTGGCAGCTGCTGTGGCCTTGCTGCCATTTTCCACAGTGGCTTTATGAGGTGCTGATGCTCCCTGTGCCGGCATCGGTGTTATTTTTGGCACTTTGCTTCGGGCTGAGATTCTCATCTTTTGGCTTGAAAGTCTAGCTGCTGCCTTTTAACTTGCAAGTGGAGAAGGACAGGATTCAAATCTGAAGGTTCCAGCCACCTGAAGAGCCTTGAAAGACAGCATATTTTATCACTTACATAAATGCCATATTTTCCCACTATATAAAACCTTCTGTTCCTTCTCCTGTCTGCTCCTACATTCCTGTGAGGGGTCTGAAACAGGGATTGCCTTGGATATGCCTGTATGGGGAGTATGAGTTGCCCCATCGGCACCCTGAAGTGGGAGGCTGCAGCAGAGGCGAGGTGGTGAGTTTGAGCTGTTGAGCTCCTGTGGCTCCTTGTCCTTCACGCAGACATCTGCTAATGTGTATCACTTTGGTAAGGTGCCTCATACCTTTGCCATTCTGCATTACACCCCTCCTCACACACCAGGCTCTGTGCTGGATGGTGAATGTTTTAGAAAGCTAAATGCCTAGAGAAAAGTGTTTTCATCGGCAAACCTCAGAGACAGGGCTCTACCAGTCCCTCCAGGATGTCTCTGCAGCTCTCTCCAGTGCTGCTGTGGGGCAGGAGGGGATGTTCCAGCTCTGCAAGGAAGGACTGCTAGACTTGGTGACTCGCAGCCAGTGGTGCTCACACTGGTCACTAGAGTCATTAAGAAAGTCTCACCTCTTATCTCCTCTAAGCTGCCTTTCTTTTCCAGCAAGGACAGAACTAGAGTTGTCCTGGGAGTGGATGAGTTACAGAAACAATTATTTGCATTAAAGTGAACCGCTGGATCAGCAGAGTGTAATATCCAACCCAAGCTCCCTGCCTTGGGAGCAGCTGTTCTTTGTCACTCTGCACAGGGTGATGTCCAGAGAAAAGCTTACTTTGCAAAGAGAGCTTCTGAGACTGCACAGATTAGAGGAGGAGTCAAAACTGTTTAAAATGTCTGTAGGCTTTAAAACCAATCATGGTGTATGGATGCAGTGGCATGCAGTGCAGTTGGGGCTGTGCAGTCGGCATGATAGTGAACTACACGTGCACACAGGCATAGCAGTGTTTGAGCTTACTAGAAATCTTGGTGTTGGAGACTCTCAGGTCATTGTTTCGTGGGATTAAAGTACTCGTTGGTAAAACAGGTTGGGATTAAGGAGTAAAAAACTGGTTTGTGCTGGTAAGCAAAAGCAGAAATAGGTCCACCATGCTCATCCTGTGGCTCTGAATGCACAACATAGAATCAGTGTGCTGAGGTTACCACATAGCAGTCCAAGGTGCTTTTAACCACTGGAGTCACAGTTATGTTGGTCTGGAGTAGTTTGATTTCCCCTGGTGAGGGGAAAGGTTTCATGAATGAGAGGGAAATTCTAGTTCATGCAAGGTGTCTGTCTCCTTTTTGGAGCTAAAAATTTTCTTTTGTGAGGGTGGGAGCAGAGAGAAGAGGGGAGGTGATGTGTTCCAGTCCAAATCGGTGGCAGAAATCAGTGTTCATTTCTGAAAGGACTCTCACTTCTAATTTCTTTTGTCTATTTAAGCCAGTGAAGAAAAAGAAGATAAAACGCGAGGTTAAGATTCTGGAGAATCTACGTGGTGGCACCAACATCATTAATCTGATTGACACTGTCAAGGATCCAGTGGTAGGTGCCCGTGTGTCGTGTGTGGTGGGATTGCCCTTCCTCTGGCTGCAGGCATGGGACAGGTTTGGATGGGTTCCTGTTCCTTTCCATGTTCCCCAGACTCTTTAAGGCCCCTTCTCTGTCTTCTGTGAGTTCTCATGGCTGATGGGGGGAAATCTTTTGAAGCCCTATAAGAAAGTAGAGCCTGTAGCCTTCTAGCTTTTGTCTGGCATCTGGAGCCTAAGTACCAGCCAGGGCAACTGGAAATGAAGCACTTTGATCCTTCTGGTTGCTGTCCTACCCAGTGACCAGCAATCATGTCACTGGTCTGCACTGCCACAATTGACCCATTCCCAGGAAGTTTTCTGTGACGAGCAGCTGGCTGAGGTCTGTGACTCCCATCCTGCTGGCAGCCATGAGAGGAAGTGATGCTGCTCTAGCATCGGCAGTCCTGGCTGACCTTCCTCCTGCAAGGAAGGCTGTGAGGGCTTAGCTCCTGGTGACACATTCTGCCTTGCCCAGTGCTGTCCCTGCCCCTTGGCGTGGGGATCAGCAGCACTGGCCACAATGCTGAGGTGGTGCTTGGCGTGTGGGGTATAAGCAGAGCTGCCTCCACCTTTTACAGGAGCAGGGCTGTGCTTCTCTCCCTGTCTTGCTGCTGCCCTGCTCTCCCTAGTGAGGGTTGGGCAGGAAGCAAAGGCTTTTTAAGGTCTCTTGCAGCAAAGAAAGGTCAAGTGGGTGTTTTAAACCATGACTCTCTTTCCCTTGCAGTCAAAGACCCCTGCTCTGGTGTTTGAGTACATCAATAACACAGATTTTAAGGTGAGTTTGCTTGAGTGTGGAGGAGGGAGGCTTCCCATTTCTGTTAAGAGTGCTGTGATTGCCAGATAACCCTCAAGAGCTGTGGGGAGAGTTTGGAGTTTTCACCTATGTCAGCTTCACTTTGTTTTCTCCATGTAAATCAGAAACCTGTTACTGGGCTCTAGATTGAAAGGAATAAAAAGTTTGTGTGCTGCATCTTCTCCCAGCTCTGAGGAGTAAGTTCAACAGGTTAGATATTCTTACTCCCCTCTCAATTTAGTAATCACTGCTGTGTTATATATTCAGCCCAAGTTAATCCCTGTGCTGTGGTGCTCTGCTTACAGCAGTGCAGTTGATGGAGCAGGTGACACCAATTTTTTTCTGGAATCCTTCAGACCTGGGGACTTTGGGGTGGCAGAGACTGGAAAACACATTCCCACTGCCAGTGGGCCTCTGAGGGTAGTGAGCATTCTCACTAGCAGGGTACTGAGCATTCTCGAATACATCTTAAGAGCTCTTTTGCTTGCCTGAGGCTGCAGGATATTCCCTGGCTCTTCTGATTTCTGGGGAGCTCC